GCTAACAACGTGGAAGAGAAACCTCACAGAAGCTATCACAGACGAAAACCAAAACAAGCAGGACCAGAAGATAGTCTTCCACATGCAATTTCACCTGAAGATGCTAGCAAACCTAAACCTGCCCAAGAAATCATTGATGCTAATGGTGTTTCCATTGAAGAACTTAGCTCTTCAAGAAGAAAACGTAAAACTCTACATAATAAGGTATTTTGAAAATCTACATATATGCATATGATCATACTCTGTGATCTGTGGTTGGTCGTCCATAATGCAATTGTAGGGTCCTTGACAAAGTCATCAAAAAGCTTATGGCTTATGCTTAAGTAATTTTTGTTTATTGTAAATGCAGGAATCTGTTGAAGATGATAATTTGAGGACTATAATCAAACCGAGACATGCTGATCAAAGTCCACCAATTGCAAAGACCTCAGAAGAATCTTCATCAACTAGTGAAAAGAAAATAACTGGACCAAATGCAGTAATGTCAGCTACACAAGTTTCAGGCTCGGGTCCAGCGAGTTTGCTGCAGAAACCACCAAACAGGCGTAAGATGAGTTTGAAGAAAAGTTTACAAGAAAGAGTTAAATATTCTGATGCCACTCATGATAAGCCACATAGATACGAAACTAATTCAAAACATGAGTTATTAAAGGTAGAGTCTCTAACTTTCATTTCTCTTAAACTCATTCAAAATCTGGTAACTTATTTTGCTTGTTCCATTCACAGGAGCAAGTTTCTATTTCTCTGTCATGTCCTTTGGTACGTCGAAGGTGCATATATGAATGGTTCTACAGTGCTATTGACTACCCCTGGTTTGCAAAAATGGAGTTCATTGATTTTCTAAATCATGTGGGTCTTGATCACTCTCCAAGACTTACTCGTCTTGAATGGAGCGTCATTAAAAGGTTTGTCTGTAATATAATATGTGAAGATTTGAAACGGGTTACTCATTCTATGTATTTTCAGTTCTCTTGGTAGAACTCGGAGATTCTCTGAGAAGTTCATACAGGAAGAGCGGGAAAAACTCAAACAGTATCGTGAATCTGCAAGACAGCATTACACAGAGCTACGCACAGGTGCAAGGCAAGTGCTTCCCAGAGATTTTGCTCAGCCTTTATCAGTGGGGAACAGAGTCATTGCCATACATCCTAAAACACGGGAAGTTCGTGATGGCAAGATTCTTACTGTTTATCATAACAAGTGCAACGTTATGTTTGATGACTTGGGCGTCGACTTAGTTATGGTAAAATCACTTCTTGTGGACACTTGAATCGTATCTAAGATGTTTTAACAAATCCTTTTTATTTTTTATTTGACAGGACAGTGATATCATGCCTTTAAATCCGTTGGAATACATGCCAGACGGTCTGAGGAGGCAAATCGAGAGCAAAGAAGTAGAGCTTAACAGACACCCAAGCTCTGATGCATCTGCTCTGTTCCCTCCTCTCGTGCTTGAAAATATCGACTTTTCTATGACTCCTCCTAAAAAACAGGTACACAATTACGTTTTCACTTGTCTGTCTAATTTTTGATCTGTTTTTTTTCTCTTTCTATACGTTTTTGGTAAACTCTATGCATATGATTCAATAAGTCTCTACAGGATGATAGGGACATGCGAGTCACTACTGATCAATCATATAACATAGCCAATAGCAAAACAAGACAAGGTGAAATTCAACGAGCTCTGATGTTTGAGGATACTTTAGATGGAGAGGTAATGACTATGTATGCCTTGTTTGTTGGTACTGATGACTAAATAGGCTCAAGTTAATGAAACTTGGATGCCCGTGGAAACTTTTCCTTGAGATTTGTTGATTATTAAAGTAGAAAATTGTTTTTAACTCTCCTGTCATCATAGGAAATGGAGCCAGAAATGTTTGGTATTGTTAGTGGTTCAAGGTCAATAGCACAAGCAATGGTGGATGCAGCTATGAAGGTAGTTACCATCAACTATTTTAGAGTATCCAAATCTACAATAAAGAGAACTCAAAGTCATACAAGTCTTACCTTATGTGCTGTTGTAGGCTTCATCTTTGGTAAAGGATGGCAAATACGCAAGTCATGTGGTTCTGCAAGCTTTAGACTCAATGGGAGAACATGAGCCATTAGATAACTCCATAGTGTGTGGTATAAAGCATCAAGACCAAACCAATGGCAGCTTGGATCATCATCATCAAAGCTGGTCTCCCTCAAACACTGAAGGATTGATGTCTTCAGAGCTAATCGCCTCTTGTCTTTCAACTTGGCTCATGATTCAGGTAAAATTAAAAAAGAAAGTTTAAATATAAATGACTGTTGTTACATATACTGAAATGGAAAGAATTTGCAGAGGTGCGCAGAGAAGCAGTACCCACCAGCTGACGTGGCTCAGGTGATGGAGATAGCAGTGAGAAGCTTGGAGCCACGGTGTCCTCAGAACATGCCTATCTACAGACAGATTCAGACTTGCATGGGTTGGATCACGAATCAAATCATGGCTCTTGTTAAAACATGACAAAAGTAACTTTTGAGTTGTTTATTTTGACTTTTTGGATGTGGATAGTAGAAGAGGTTAGTTTAGTTTCTAGTAAGGTAATAACTGCACAGCTATTCATTTATTGGGCCAGGTCGGGCTTAAAAGCCTTTGAAATAAAATTCACTCGGCTTTTATTACGTAAGCCCTAAAACATGAAAGCCCAACACCATCTACTAAACCATTCAAAAGATTTTCTTTTTTTTCTTGGTCAAAAAAATACACTTCAAAAAATATTTGCTGCAACCGAGCAAAATGTTGTTGTACGTTACAGGTTGGCAGAAAATATTAATTTTCCATTTGTTAGTATCTTTAGCGACTTAAATTCAGTATTTGCGATCGCAACATTTTGATCAAAAAAAAAAATTAGCAAAAAAAAAAAACATTTTGATCAAAATGAATAACAATCTATGACTTGTAACCTACAACTTGATTGTGTGATCGGTCATGCCACATTAAAACGAACAACAAACATTTGACTAGTCACAGTCACAAAGCATTCCAACATGTAAACAAATAAAACATGTAAACAAATACTAAGGTTTAAAACTAAAATTTTCATAATATTAATATTTAAATTTTATTAGAAATTAAGACTTTATAAGTTATGAATGTTTTGTTTTTATGATTAATTTTAGTCAAACTAAAATTAATATTTTGTTTTTATGATTAATTTTAAGCAACCAAATTTAATAAACATGATTAATTTTTTTTAAAAAAAAATGTAGAATTGGTTATTATTATCTAAGAAAAATTACACTGAAAATGTTAAAAAATTGTATGTTACAAAAATTCTATAAAATGGATATTTTGCAACGGACCGAGTATTTTTGTAGTTAAAAGATTTTTTGAAAAGAAAGACCAAACCGTAAAAACAAAATTGAAATTGAGACAGTGGTGTTCATCCTTTTGTCCGAGAATCGCCATCCTCCGTGTGTGAATTTTGATCGACATCCTCCGTCACAGCCTGACGAAAACACACACTCTTCGAGTCTCTGAATCACTGGGAAACAGTTAAGCCGCTCCAGTAAATGGCGGATTTCCAGACATCAACTCAACGAGCCAAGTGGATTTTCACTCCCCAGAAACTAGTATCCTTCCTTCTCCCTACGTTCTATTTGCCTTTTGTTTTTCTAAAGTCTATTCCCGCGCAAATCATGTGGAAAATTGAGTGTGTGATTGTTATTCTACTTCCTTTCTAGATATTATTGGTTGTTAATTGTGTAGGCAGAGAGATATAAATCTGCTAACCATAGGGCAGTTCAATTGCTGGAGAAGGTAAGTGTTGATATGTAACGTTATTTTATATTCATGATAAAAAAAATAATAATCAGCTTATTCTTCTTATTCATAGTGTGGAACAACACAAGTTGAAGTAGATGCAAGTGGATCACTAACTTATCCTATAGAGAAAGTTGATGCAGGAGGAGACCAAGGTTAAGTTTTTTTATTTATTTTATCATTATGGTTTTTTGTTGTTCAATGTTTTAATTGATGTTAGTATTTTTTTTTTTTTCTTACTCTCTCAAGGTGATAAGAAGCTTAAGCCTTTGAGTGTTGATGAAGAACGATTCATGAGAGCTTTTTATGAAGCAAAGGTTCAAGAAGTCTGCAGTGCCTTTGAGTTTCCTCACAAGATTCAGGTGTTCATTTCCTCTTCTTTCAGATTGAAAATTCAAATCAAAATGTTCGAATCTTGCTAGCTCTCTGAATATCAATGTTTTTTGTTCCTTCTGATATTTTTTGCAGGCAACAGCTCTCCAATATTTTAAAAGATTTTATCTGCAATGGTCTGTTATGCAACATCACCCAAAAGAAATAATGTAATCCTTCAAAATGTGCACATGCTTGCTTCCCATTAGAAAAATATGTTTTGAGAGTGTTTATCGTCAGCTAATTTCTCTTTGGTAGAATGTTGTAATTTGGATTAATTGGGATATCTTTCCTTGAGCAGGTTAACCTGCGTGTATGCGGCTTGTAAGATAGAGGAGAATCATGTATCTGCTGAGGAAATTGGCAAGGGGATTAAACAAGATCACCACGTTATTCTCAAGTATGAGATGGCTGTTCTCCAGGCATGATAATTTATCCCTACTGTCCTCTGTGTTCTTCTGTTCCTATTAGATTTTAACTTTATTTGCAGAGTTTGGAGTTTGATCTGATTGTCTATGCACCTTATCGTGCAATCGAAGGCTTTGTCAACAACATGGAGGTAATATCTTGGCTGTCTAATACAGCTTGGTTTTCTCTGTTTACATCTTTATAGTGATGAGACTCCTTTTGAGTCGATATGCAATTTTTTGTGGCCTTTAGGGGAAGAACTTGGTGAACTTTTTAATAGGAAGCTTTTCAATACTTTATATTCGGTGTGTAGTTTTTCCTCCTTGTTTAACTTCACACTGTATCCAAAAGTGATATTATTTTATCATCCTCTAGGAGTTTCTTCAAGCTAGAGATGATGAAATCCAAAAGCTGGAGGTGAATCTCTCTCTTCATAATTGCAAGTCTTTTTTTGTTACTTAACGTGCCTTACTGAAATTTCATTTTCTCATAATGGCATAACATTTCAAGCACTGTGCAGAGTTTGCTAAAAGCGGCAACAGCAGAAGCTGATAAAATTATGCTCACAGATGCTCCACTCCTCTTTCCTCCTGGCCAGGTAGGTTTCTTTGTCTCTCCTAGCCTTTACTTCTAGAAGGTTGGAGATACTTAAACCATCAAAGAATCTGGTTAAACTCATGGTTTGTAATATTCTGTATTGTTTCTCAGTTGGCGTTGGCTGCTATGCGTATTGCAAATGGAGTTCTTGGAGTAGTTGATTTTGATAGGTTATTTAATCTCTTGGCTTTTGTTATATGAAAGCTTGTAGCGGTTGGGATTTTAAACAAAAACTTCATTTAGTGCAGGTACTTAGAGAACATTGTTTCTCAACCAAACTCTGAGCACACTACTACTTCAGAGCTTATAAAATTACTTGATGACATTGAATATTTGGTATGCATTAGCGTTTTAAAAAAAAAAAACATATTTCCATCATAACCATGAAGCTTTATTTCTTAAAGACAGTTTTACTGTATGTTATTATTATTATTTTTTGCAGGTAAAGAACTACAAGTACCCAAGTGAAAAGGACATGAAGCATATAAACAGGAAGCTAAAATCTTGTCTAGGACATAGTTCTTCACATGACGAGTACTAATTAACTTTCATGCTTTTTGGTTCTTTTAACCACTTAATATATATAGTTTTTGCTACTTCAGATGATGATTCGTTTTCTCTCAGGAACAAGAAACGAGAGAAAAGATCGAAGCACAAGTCACATAAGAACTCCAGTGATACACCCAAAGGTGCACCGATAGGTTGAGTTTCTTGTTTTGCCATTAGCTTTAAATCTTATTGAATGAGCAAATCCTCTTTATACTTTCATGCCTTGTTGTTAAATTTTAGCATCTCTGGATTATCAAATCTGGAACTGGCAGTTTAATGTTATAGAGACAAAAGCTGTATCTTGCAACAAAGATTGGCACATAAAATTGTTTATTCCAAAGAAGATGCCATTGAACACCTCCAAATACAAAACTACTGTTTTCCACGTTGTTATGAAAATTCGGTTACGTCGGTTTAGTGGGGTTGGTTAGTTCTGTTTTTGGTTAATTTAAAACTTGAAAAACTTCTGAACCGAACCGAAACAAATTAAACGTTCGTTTCACTTAATTCGGTTTACCATTTTATTACCCGAGTTGAACCGGATTTTTTAGATTTTACATATGATTATTTTCAAGTATAAATTGGTTTACTTTAAAATTAAAAAAAAAAAAGAAACAATTAATTGAACCGAGAACAAAATAAATTTTGCAAATGTGACACTAGACCGGTTAAAATTCCGGTTCGGTTCGGTTCAAACGGCATGCCTATATAAACGCTGCATCTAGCGTTCGTAATTAACAACTTAAAATTTAAATTGATCCCAAACTTTTTTTTTTTTTTCTTTTTTTCTTCATCCGAAAACTTGAATCCGACTGTTAGCTCCTCCATCGTCTCGATCAAATCTTTGTGAAAAAAAATGGCGAAGGCGAGCGTTAGCCTCGCGTACCCCGAAAGATTCTACGCCGCCGCATCGCACCTCGGCCTCGACGGATCTGTAACCTCCTCCTTGAAACAACTCAGCTCCAGATTCTCCAACGACACCGCCTTGCTCCTCTACGCGCTTCACAAACAGGTCCCTATCAATCTCTCTAATTCGAATTTCCACGAGATCTTGTGATGATCTAACAGCATTGATTGATTGATTGATTGATTTCCATTGCCGTTTTTAAACTGATTGATTTCATCATCGTTGTGGTAAAATAAAATGGATTAATGATACAGTGCCTTTGACATGTTAACAGGCTACGATAGGACCTTGCAATGTACCGAAACCTAGTGTGTGGAATCCATCTGAGCAAAGCAAGTGGAAAAGGTTTGATTTCATCTTTGCCTTCATACACTATAAGGAGAGGCTTTAGATTCCATCAGTATGAGCTACATTATATAGCTTATATTAGTGATTGGCATAACTCACACCCAAAAGCTAGCTCAAGAGTGGAGGATTGCCCATACACATATATATATTACCCAAGAATCATTTATATAAACGATGTGGGACATCTAATAGCCCCTCTCGAGATGTGGGTGGGAAACGGTCCATAGGGAAACAGCCCAAGCCCAACATCTCGGAAATACCACAGCATATGGGCCATTTTTACAGGCTACATAGGTAGGAAATTGTTTATCTGGGAAATCATAATGCTGGGCCAAACCTGGCTCTGATACCATATCAAACAGATTCTAATTAATCTCATAAAGGAAAGAGTTTGTTACAGAGCAAGCTTTATCTAGTGAAAAATAAATTAACATGTCTCATAAATCACAGCAACGCAAAAAAAAAAAAAAAATAGTATTGTAGATGTTAGTTATAAGAGAGTACTTTTTTGTCTAAAAAAGAAGAAGAGAGAGTACTTTGAAATGTGGTACTTTTATCCATGTGGAATAGATTAAACAGTTACCTTAAACTTTGGTGTGTACTGTGTGCAAAAATGCTGGTCACATGCCTTGGGAAAGTTATCGTAGAGACGCTAATTTGCACAATTTTGCTACCTTAGGATAATGTTATGTGAACATAGAGGGCACAGAACGTGGTCCTGTTGAACTTTCTTAAGAGATGTATATGTTTACTAGTTGGCAGGGGCTTGGAACCATGTCGTCCATTGAGGCAATGCATCACTTTGTGAAATTTCTAGAGGTATAACCAATAGTGACTGTTATGCTCCTTTTGCTTTATTTTGGATCAGCGACTAATTTTGTTCTATTGCTCATTTTTTTTTAAAAGGATGAAGATCCTAGTTGGAATCCAATATCACCAAACTCTGTCCCAGACCCTGCTGTAGATGTCCAAATCAGTGTGAGTCCTAATTTAAAAAAAAAAACAAAATTCATTGATTATACATAGGATCAAGTTTCAATTTGTGCATGTATTGCTAGCAAATACAATCTGAGGTGTTTGATCCTTTATATAACACCATTCCATGTTTAGGTTCAGAGTTTTCATTCCTTTTCTTAAAGAGAAGTATCTTACTCACTTAGTAACTGGGATTGATTCTCTGTAACAGAGCACAAAGGCCGAGCCTAGTGTTGAGAATGGAGCTTCATTTAGTGAGACAATGACAACTGCTACAGAGGATGGGAGATTGACGGAAACCCAAGATAAAGATGTGGTTTTGGAAAACCCAAATACTATTTCTGTGTATAACCAGTGGACGGCACCACCAACATCAGGCCAGACACCAAAAGCTCGGTATGAGGTATTATATTATCTAAAATCTAGTGAACATGAAAGAAGAGTATTTCTTCGGGTATCTTCTCTCTCTTTTTTAATTCTTGTTTTTTTAATATTCGTTTCAGCATGGAGCAGCGGTTTTTCAAGAGAAGATGTATATGTATGGTGGAAATCACAACGGGCGTTATCTGGGGGATCTTCATGTAAGCAACTACTAGCATTAACTATATCCAATTAAAATATTTTCTGTGTATATAAGCATGTTTTCTGTAAATGGTGTTTGGAATACAGGTTCTAGATCTAAAAAAATGGACTTGGTCAAGAGTTGAAACCAAGGTTGTGACTGAATCACAGGAAACATCATCTCCAGCAACACTAACTCACTGTTCTGGTCATTCTTTGGTTTGTATTCCAACTCGTGTTTTGTTCTGTTTCTTCTTTTTTAGTTTTCTTGCCTTTATATATCAAAGGCAGGTTTCAGGGAAAGTACAGTAATCTCCTCATTAAATCCGCATGCTACTAGTTTATAGCAGAAAAGAATCTACATATACGTTACTCTCACTGGCCTACTTTGTTTGTTATGTAGATACCATGGGACAACAAGCTTCTTTCTATCGGTGGTCATACAAAGGATCCCTCAGAATCCATTCTAGGTAGGAGTTTAAACACTTTTGAAGTTGCTAATTTCAGGTAAGTTATAGTTACTAATTTTGTATATCACTTTTTGTTCTGTTTTCTTGTCACAGTTAAGGTCTTTGATCTGCATACCTGTACATGGTCAATCTTAAAGACAGATGGGAAGCCACCGGTAACATCATCTTTTCTCCTAATTTTTATAATCCATATATGGGAAATTTTCCTATCTAGTAACCTCGTAAACACTTTTGAACATCAGAAAAGAAAATGAAAGTTTGCCCTCTTTCTTCCCTCTTAGTGTTCTCAGGTCAAGTGTTAAGTTGTATCCGAATACAATCTCTTGATCTGCTTTCTGATATTCAAAATGGAGTATGTTGTTTGGCTTCTTCGACGCTATGTTTACCACTCTCTCTTGCTTGCAGATTTCGCGTGGAGGCCAGTCAGTGACTCTTGTGGGAAAGAAACTGGTGATATTTGGCGGCCAGGATGTAAATAAATCGCTTCTGAATGATTTGCATCTACTTGATCTGGATACCATGACGTGGGATGAGATAGATGCCGTGTAAGATCTTATGACTTTTCTGCACTTTATTCATTCTTTTGAAGAATTCAAGTTTGTTTAAAGACTAAGATAAATCCAGAAATTGAAGGAAACTTCACAAAGCCGCCAATTATCAACTTTATATCTTAGTTAACGAAAAATTAGCATTCCAAGGTTAAACTTATGTCAACTTGCAGGGGTTCTCCTCCATCTCCAAGGTCTGATCACGCTGCTGCAGTGCATGCTGAGCGTTATCTTCTAATATTTGGCGGAGGATCACATACAAATTGTTTTAATGATCTCCACGTCCTTGATCTGCAAACTGTATGCTAAGCTTCTCTTTTTCTCAACAACACTCTTTGTCGGCTTCTTAACATATGTGTTTCTATATTATAGATGGAGTGGTCAAAACATACACAACAAGGTGAAGCACCAACTCCACGCGCTGGACACGCTGGTGTGACGATTGGAGAGAACTGGTTTATCGTTGGTGGTGGAGATAACACGAGCGGTATGTTTTGCACTTTTCCGTTGGAAAAGACTCTTTATCTTCCCGATAAGCATGTGTTGCTTTTTCAGTTACATCATAATTTTTAACCTATTTACTTGTACAGTGTGATTAATTGTGTTGCTTGCTGGTACTTTTACCGCAGGGGCATGTGAGACTGTCGTATTAAATATGTCAACTCTTGCGTGGTCAGTACTCACATCAGTCCAAGGAGGTGTACCTCTCGCTAGTGAGGTAGTTTAAAGTCATTATTCCATAAACATGAAACTTGAGTACATCCCTTGTGATTTCTTCCAGAGTTGAGCTGTTAAATGTTAACAGGGACTGAGTTTAGTTGTGAGCTCATATAATGGTGAAGACGTAATCGTTGCTTTTGGTGGATACAACGGACGTTACAACAACGAAGTACTCATAAATACATTTTTGTCCTCATTTGTTTTTTTTTTCAACTCTGTTGTTAATTATGTATTTTGCCAAATCACAGGTGAATGTTCTTAAACCAAGCCACAAATCAAGCTTGAAATCAAAGATCATGGAAGCTTCTCCCGTACGTGATAGTGTTTCTGCTGTTAATAACGCCACCACCAGAGATATTGAGTCTGAGATCGGTGTGAGCCAAGAAAGCAAAGTACGAGAAATTCTCATGGATAATGTTAACTCCAGATCAAAGGTACCTTCCCTCCTTAACACTGTGTGAATAACAAAATAGACTAAAGATAAATCACATTAAATCCACAGGTTGAAGGCAAAAGCGAGAGCATCATCACATCCCTTAGATCCGAGAAGGAAGAACTAGAGGCATCACTCAGCAAGGAGAAGATACAAACTCTGCAACTGAAGGAAGAGTTAACAGAGACAGAAACACGTGGCGCAGAGTTATACAAGGTCAATAAATAATAATAATACTATTGCCTCATATTAGTTATTTTATTCAGTCTATCATTGTACCATATGGAAGCAAGACACATGAATTTGAATGAAGAGATTGTTTTGTCATATCAACATTTTTTTTTGTATTTGATGTATAGGAACTTCACTCTGTGCGGAGTCAACTTGCA